TTTTATGTTTTTGTATAAATTGTCGCTTCACATCAAAAAGGCGAGCGCTTCGCTGCACGCCTCACGCCTCAGTGAATCGGACCCTCGTCGCTATTTGCCGCCGCACGCTATCCAAAACACTGCTCCAACCCCCCAAAAATAATCAAAGCATCACTAGAACTCAAAGTATCTAGATGCTAATCAGAAGCACCTTAAACAAACACGATGACAGACAGTACAGAACATTGATAGCAGAAGCCATAGAAATTCTCCTGCCTATAATCAAGCTCAATTATGCCAAATCTCTGTCATTCTTGTTTTGTATATGAGAGATGATAAAGAACCTCTAGGAACGATATCAAACTTCCATAACCTCAAGGTTAAAAGATCCAGCTTTTATACAAAGATCACACTAGTCTACTACTCCATCCAAATGTAAACAACAGCTACCGCTGACAACCATAGTAATGACAAAAACTTAGCTAAGAATCACAATTTTGATAATGTCTTTCGATAGTGAAGCACTTCTAGACTAGGGGTGAAGATATTGACTTTCCATAAAAGCTGAAGCAATTTTACTTCGTGTTGTGCTTTCAAATAGTGGTAAGAGTTAAGACCGCAGAAGAAAAAGAAAACAAACAGAACCATTTTAAAGTTTCTCCATTTATTTACTTCTCAACTCCCCCTAACTCCAAAGTTCTCTAATTCACCAAAGTTTATTTTGACTTTATTTTCAATTCTGGACTGCTTCAGTTACGTTACAGCACCAAAATTTCTTATGCTGAAGCTTCATTGCACACACTTTCACTATACACACCATTTAATATTTAATTTTATATCCTCAGTTACTTTAAAGCTCCAAACTTTCTTATGCTGAGGCCGGCCCACTAACAGAAAGATCACTAAACTTGATAATAAAAAAGCTTTCTCAAACCCTGATTCCTAGAAAGACACATATGTAAAGAGCTCATCTTTTTAGCTAAAAATATTTGAGATAACTAAATCAGAACAACTATTGTCAACCAAAATATAATGTTCCTCCAATTTAAATATTTGACATCAATGCTTAACATACCATGCCGGAATGGCGATGAACGGAGTGAATTCTCCGATTTGATCCAGGCAACATCATCTTGGATGCTATTAGCTTCTCCACTCCCTATAATACAATTCATATAAGAAAAACCCTAACTTTAATACAGAGAACAAAACAGGTAACTTGGAATGGATAACAAAAGGTATTTTTAAGGAGCAAACCAAGATGATTCCATCCTTGCATTTGATGCCGACGACAGTGCCGCTGTTATCGACTGCTTTGCCGGCGTATTCGATCTGAAATACTCTGCCGTCCGGCGAGAATGTCGTCACCGATAGGTCATATCCCGTTCCTATGCTGGCCATTTTTCACTTCTTTTCTTCTCAAAGTAGAGCTTCTACTGATTCAGTTGAGTTCAATTAGGAGTAGTGTAGTGACCCAAATAAATAAAGGAGTTTTCTTTGGTCTCAAGACAGAGTAGAGTGGAAAAGAAAGAAGAGAATTTAGTTTCACAAATAGCACTAGGGGATGTTTGGGCCAATTTCTACCCACCTCAATTTTTATTTTATTTTATTACATAAAAATCACTCAATTATTTTTACAAGACAAGATGCATAAAGACTCCATTTAATTTGTACTGAAAAATTATTTATACATCTAAATTTTACGGGTGTCCTAACATCCCACTATTATTGAAATAATTATATTTATTGACTCCCTTTTAAGCCCCGGCCAGCCGCGCATCTTAGACAACGTTTATGAGCGCGTCTTTGATCTCTTTCAATCTTTAAAAACATCCAAAAGAAAAAATTAAATTTTTAACTTTAATATAACCCTCAACCAACGATAATATTCATTCTTCCCCAATTTTTTACCAAACCCAAGTGAAGAACCCAAATTTCTTCTTCATCTAAATTCTGCCGAAATTGCATCAAATTGCCCTTTGAAATTTTGATCTTTGAAAGTAAAGGTTAATCTTTCTCCTCCTTAAGAACCCTAATTTTTTTATTTTATTATTGTTATGTCTTTCTCCTAAAATCCAATTTCTCTCGGTTAAACATTATAATGTGACTGATGTTTTTAGTTTTTTTCGTCGGCAAATTATCTCACTTTGGGATCGTCTGTTTGTGTTGTAGTTGTTGCAATGCCTTCAAAAGGCTTGAATTTGACAAGGCTTTGCACGGAAGAGGAAGAAAACGAGTCAAGTGGAGAAATTCGATGCAACCATGGGTATGTGCTGCCTTTGTTAACAGCTTGGACTCCTTAGAACCCAGGAAGAAGATATTGGGTTTGTCCATACTATGGGGTAAATAATAGTGAAAATTCTTTCAATAATTGAGTTGTGAAAAATTATCATTGATTAATTTTCTTTTGTTATTCATCTTGGGGTACACGATCTTGTGATTTTTGGGTATGGAAGGATTCCTAAATTGATCCTAGGTCAAAATTTGTTATTCCAAAATTGCTTGACAAAATGGGTGAACTTGAGACTATATTAGAAGGCTTTGAAAATCTTGCCAAGCTGAGGGCAGCTTTAAGGGTTGAAAACACCATAGAAGGGGAGAAGATGAAGAAGATTGAGGCTCAATTGGTAAAATTGCAAGCTGATATGAAGAAGATGAAAGACAAGAAAAAGAAGTGGAAGAGCAAATTGGCTAGGTCCAAGGCTAGGGAAAATATACTTTGGTTCATTATCTTGGGATATGTATTATACTTGTTGCTTGTAGGTTTCCAGGATTTGAAAGAAGATGCAGTAAGGCGTCCATTTTGAATCTAATTTATTCATCTCAATATGTATATAGTTGTTACTTGTAGGTGTCATTTTGAATGTTTGAAGTATTGTAGATGTGTTCTTGTTGTTTCTTTGTATGCCCAAAACTTGGCAATCAATCAAGTGTATATCTTCATACAACTATTTTTAATGTTTAATCACAACAATAGACAAGTGCATAAACAGTGCATATGTTAAGAAACAGTTGCATCTGTGATTATGTTATGAAACACACCACACAAGAGACTTAATACGGCAGCTGCATAAACAATATAAAAACACATACTTTGTCTCATTGACCTAAAAGAAACAGACCTAATAAACAGTCACAGCTGCATAAATAGTGCATAAACACTTTTTAATCTCATTGTAGCAGCAGCAAAACAGACATCATAAGATAACAAAATGAGAAATGCAGTCTATATCTGCCTACAAATCCTTATCATAATTAAAAAAAATACAATTTATAGCTGCCTAAAAATCCTTATCATAATGAAGTCTATTGCAGTACAGTCAGCCACAAAATAGTCTCTTGATCAATTAGGTGGTTTTGTAGTGGTGCTTTTCTAGCTCAACTTAGCAGCCATAGACCTTGTTTGAATGATTTTATTGCCTCTCAATTGTTGAAGTTGCCTTAATGTCATAGCTTCTTTGCTTTTCTATTTAACTCCTCTTGTTGGTTGATAGCCTAGATCTCCAGTTACTTCTACTGAAGACCTCACATTCTTAAATTTTGTAGAGAACATTCCAAGCTGCCAAAATCCAACAGAAAATCAGAGAATGAGTTCATCTAAATATGAGAGGTAGTCTCAAAGCTTACATTTTGAATTTTGAAGCCACTTTGAGTGTGTAAAACTCCCATCCCAACCATCCTTGGCTTGTTATATTGTGTTCTTACATCACTACTAGTACCAACATACTACATCAACCAATTAAAAGTAAGAGTTTTGTTAATAATTTAAAAAGAGAAAGATGACATTAAAGGAAAGAAATTCACCTTTTCTTTAGAACCTTTTGGCTTACCCCTCCCCCCCTCCCCCCTTTTCCGGTACTTTGCTTTGGTGGCTTTGAACTACTAACACTTGCAGGCACATAACTTGCTAAAGTAGCAGCAATATTACTTCCAGCAGCTTTATGATATCCCCTTTTGTTATGACCCTTGTTATGACAATTGCTACATGTCATTTTCACCCCACTTTTGGACAATTTTTCATGTCTTATTTTCACTTGGCTCTTTTCTTCTCACATTCTTTAGCCTGCCTGGCATCTTGTTGATATGAGGTGGTATAACAGTTGTATTTTGTGACTCTTGCCACATATTCATACCCAAAACAGGCTGAAGAAAGTAACTGTATTTTTCATGTAAGTGGCATTACTGTACTAGTGAGAAATATAGTTCAATGGCTCCAGATTTTTATAATGGAGAGCAGCAACTGCATAAGCACATAGTATGCCTTCTAACATCTAAGCTCTGCAGGTGCATGTTTTCATATTGATGTCCACCAGATGCTTCACTTTAGCTGCACCTGATCCTTGCTTCACTTCAAATTCAAACTCATCATTCCAGAAAATATTACATTTCATTGATCTTTATGTGTTCTCTTCCAAGACGTTCATGGCCATTGGTGAAAAATCAGTAATCCAAATGTTTCCAAACTATCTGAGTTGACATATTCTGTTCATCATCTTCACCCTTATTTCTTCAAGCATCGTCACTATAGTCTTCTGCTTTGCTGCCAAAATCAAAGCATTGAATCATTCTGCCATATTATTGTCAACATTGTCATACTTGCAGAATGTGTTGAAATACACCTTGTTCCATTTTTCTATGTTGTAGTACAACAGTTCATCAAATATCTTATTACCCAATTTCTTCATGTCATCCAGATTTTTCGTCAATTCTCACTCATAGGTAGACCTTGCATACCTTCAGAAGCAGTTTTTTCTCTCTATGCCCCTCCATTTCTTAGACCAGTTAGCTAGGATGTGCCTTGCACACATACTATGTTCAGATTTTGAAAGTAGATCTGTTATAGCATTCTCACACCCCTGCAAAATGAATAATGATAGTTAGTTTTAAAGCTAATTAGCAGTAGAAAAATAGCAATAAACTACAAGTGCTTACTTTTTGCATATATGTTATAATGGTCATATTTGTACCATTTCCAAGCTGAAGATCATCCTTTAAAAGGTTGACAAACCACCTCCAAGTGTGCATATTTTCAATCTCAACAACAACCCAAGCAAATGGAAGCATATGATTATTTCTATCTTTGCAAACTGCTACAAGTAGTTGGACTCTACATACCTCTTTTAAAAAATATCCATCCAACCCAATGCATGGCCTACAACCAGCCAAGTAGGACTTCTTCATTGCATGAAAACAAATATAGAACCCAAGAAATATTTTCTTCCCACCTTCAAATGTTTCATCACTAAGCTTCACTATATATGTACTCCCTGGATTTGATCTAAGAAACTCATCCTTATAATTTAATATTCTGCCATAGTCTAGTTTATGATCATCATTATCTCATTCAACACAATATTTCTTGTCCTCCTACAAATAGTCCTCCCAACATAGAATCCCAATTTTTTTTCTAATAATCTCCTGAAACTTGATTACTCTAATGTTATGTTGTTCTTTTATCCTCTCATTGAACCTTTTGGCCAAGTACTTTGAATTACATAACTTGTTTCTGTTAGTAGGGTCACATTTGTGAATTGAATTATAGTTCTTGACTACAAAATCCTTAGTCCTAGAGTCATAACTAGCAACTAGAAGCCAAGGACATGATGTCTTCTTGTACTTAACTCTCACCCTTGTAGGTTCATTTATATATTTTTCTATAAAAAACTTTTGTTGAACAACATATTTAGTTACAACTTCTCTGAAATCTCTCACACTTGCAAATGCAAGTCCAGTTTCCCAAACTATTTGCTTGCAAGTCTTGTCAAAGATAACTCTTCTTTTGTCTCCTTCTTCTTCTTGCTTTAACTTTCTGTTGAACCTTCCCTTTACCTTCATCATCAACATCATCTGGATCTGTCTCAAAGTTGGCAGCATCATCTGAAGGGTAATAAGGGTCATCACCACCTATCTTACCTTCCAAACTCTTCTTCTTCCTAGATTCATATTCATCATACCCCACATTTGGCCCTCTCCTACCTAGTTTAACATGTTCTTATTCACGAGCACTTTCTTTCCCCTTCCTTCTCTCTACAGTCCTTTTTTCTGCCCTAAATATCATGTACTCCTCATGTGTATCACTGCCATAATCAGCTTCTCCTTCTTCAAATAATTCCTCATGCTCTGAATCTGAGCTATTATTAGTGTTGCTGCTAGATTCAGATGAGGATTTTGAATTATCATTAGTAGTAACAGTTGTAGGCACATTGTTATTGGCACTATTTTCAGCAGCATTGGATGCCTTTTCAGAAGTTCCCAAACTCTCACAGCCCCCCAAATCTTGACCAGATTCCTTCTCAAAAGTAACATTACTATCACTCCCACTTGGCTGACATATTTTGATGGAGGGGAAACCATTACAACATCATCAACCATGTGATCTATATATACCTCCACAATATCCCCATTTTTAACTATTCACAAATGCCCATAAGGTCCCTACTAACTTTAATTACTACTAAACCAGGATAATTAAGTGGTCTAACATAAATAACAACAAAAGAACTATTGTACCCAAACTCTTTCACATAACCTAGAAACTCAAAAT